GTTTTCTCCCAGGGATGCTCCAATCCAGGTTCTGTCAGGATTATGGTAACGTGCAGCAATAAGATAATAGAAGCATCCAGCACAATGCACCGCAAACAGGGTGACCTACAATGAGAGTCCTATACTTAGTGTGGCTTACTAAAACTAACGAACTGCATTTCTTTCACAGAAATAATCAAAACAAGTTTCTAGGACTTACAAAAATAAGTTTACTGCATCGAACCCAAAAGTAATTGTAGTTCTTGTCTTTCTCCAATCTGTTCCAAGAAATAATGCCGGTTGAGCCATGACCAATAAACAAATAGTATCCAAGCAAAATTATATCAAAGTCAAATTATGTTAAAAAAAAGTTCATACAACTTAGGTTAAAGCTAAAAGCTAGGTCTTTGGTACCTGGAGAATAAGGCACTAACTCTTCTGAGACGCCAAAGTCGAAGCATGTTGAATAAGCCATATGACTGGAGCGGTTTAGGAGAGATCTTCTGAGCGAGTTCAGATGGGATTGTGGATATGACATCAAAGATTAACCAGGAACTTGTATACTTCCAAGCAATCTTCTTTGGACTATCAACAAATAGGTAGGTAGCTTTGTCGAGGTAAGCTACGAAGAAGGTGAGAACAATATCCACGGCAAAGAAACCATTAACAATGTCATCAATAACGGAAAGTGGTTTTTGTGGCTTTCTAAGGAATCCAAATTCAAATGGCGACACCCAAGCAGTGTAGATAACCAGAATGACAAGAAAAGTTTCCCATATCCTGCAAGAATCAGTTGAAAATAGAGCTATTTTTAGCCCAAAAAAAAAAGTAGTTTCTTTTTTGTATAGTTATTAGCAACCTTGCATACAATACAAACTCTAGTTCCAAAAAATGAGGAACTAAAATTTTGGTGAATCTAAATTATCCCGATAATCAACATAGAAAGGGGAATATAACTCAATTCAAATCTTTTATTTTATTCTTATTACCAATTTTTCAACACATAACTTCTTCAAAATAATTGGTTTTCTATAAAAGATCAAGAAAAACAGGGACGCAGGAAGTGATTAAAAAAAAAAAAAAAAAAAGTAATTCAGTTACTGAAGATCTTTTAGAGTCTTTCCAGCTAGAGGAGTCAAAAGTAGGAACTGCTTTGGTCTGACTTGAGAAAATTCAACAAAAACACGCTAGATGAACACATTTTTTGAGCATGCACCCAAATTCCGTACATAATAATAAAGAAAAAGTGAAATTGGCAGCTTATGATTCATGAAAATAGTCGGCTATTAACCATTCTCTGAAAACACTACTGGAAATACAAATAAAACAAAGATGCCAAAGACACTACTGCAAATACAAATAAACCAAAGATGCCAAAGACTGAGACACCAGTAATAATACCAACAAACCACCGCAAGATTCAGAAGAGCTTTTTTTTACTCTTTTTCAAGTAGCCAAACAAAAAAAAGCAATAACTAAAAAGACATTGGAAACAGATGAAAACAAAAAACGTACTTCTGTAAGGGCCTAAGGACAAAAAAAACCTTAACTGTAAAACGAAATTGAAAATTGCAATGTTGTTATGTTAAAAACAAAGCTTCCCGAGGCTCAATGCCGGTTTTTCAGAAACCTCCACATCAGGGAAAAAAAAATTATTAATGAAAAGAATAAAAACAAATAAGTCAACAACGCGCCACCGTTAAAATAAAGCGAAGAAAAGAGCAGACGTAAACCTTAAGAAAGGAAGTAGAAGAAACACCTGTAACGACGATCATAAGGCGAAATAATAAATTTTCTGAGCTTGACTCTCCGGTTACTTCTTGCTCCAAGAGACGGAAGAACTCCGGTCGAAAGACTGTAATGACTACCATCTCTTGACAACTGCTCTATCTCTTCTTGACCACAGACTGAAACTCTAAACACACCTTTGTTTCTCTGGCTCGCCATCATTAAAACTACCTTGTTAAATATTTAATAATCCCCTTCCTCTCTTCTCCGCGTTTTGCGGTCGCGTTCCCGTTCTCCTTCTCCTTCTCCTTCTGTAAACTTTGCCAGTTCTCTATATATAAAGGGCTCTATTTATAAGGCTTTTGATTATTACACACAGTTATTTTTGTTTCACAATTTGCAGTTATTTTGTCCACTGTCCCTCCCCAGTCTCACGTCCCTACCCCTACCCTATAAAAAATATTATTATGACTTTTTTGCCCTTCAGTGGACCCCTGGCAATTTCAAGTCTTCTTTGGTAAAGAGTTATTACTTTTTCAGTTTTTCTGGTTTTACTTTTGACCTGAATGCTTCTGCCGAAAACTGAAGGGGCCCTGGCAATTTCAAGTCTCATTCGGCAAAGAGTTAATGGGGAGCGGCGGAGGGGGAAGGGACGGGATTAGCCTAATAGGCTATTGTACTACGTGTATAAGGAAGGAAGATCAACCTGAGTCACCCTCCGGAAAGCGCGTGAAAAGAATATCTTCATTATGTTCGAATTGGGGGTTGTAAGTCTCATGTTATGTCACGTGTTTGTGTTGTGAGGAAAGTGGTGCTGGCGCAGACGGCGGACCAGACACTTGGAAATTTATTTTATTTTATTTATTATTAGTATCAAATCTTGGCTAAACCTAAATTCAGTGATTTATAATCTCGGATTTGTAGCTTCCATGGTATTTAAGGAATTAGATATTAATGACCCTTTTTTTTCTTCTTAATTATGATTAAATAATTAATAAATGCCGTTATTTTCTGAATTCAACCGTCATTATCTAAATGAGAAAAGATAAAAGAATCAGATTTTGTATCCCAAAAGATCACGGCAATGACCTAACGTTGAACCCTTGTCATTTTACCAAGAAAACCGTGACTGTTGGTTGATTTTGGACTACATAATTACCAACCAACCATTGTAATTGTTATAATAAAATTAGTGGCATTTAGGGAACATAATAATTTTGTTTTGTAAATTAACAAAATTTTAAGTTACTTTTCTTTCCCTTTCACCTTACCATTTGAAAACATAGGCCTTTCTTCACGTATTCAAATATGTCGACAATTTAATATATTGTATATTAAATTAAACTTAACAAGTCAAAAGAGCTTTATTATTGTTGAATAATCATAAAAATGATTTACCACAAATGTGACCCTTCTAAGAAGGTGAGGACAACATCAGATACCTGAATTATTTTGTTTCACTAGGCCAATCACGGATTTCAAAAATTCCAGAAACCGAATGAATCTTCATGTTACTTTCTTAATCGATCATCGTTCACTGTGCCATTTGCAGAGTGGCTCATAAAATCATAATCGTATTCATAAATACCACATTTCCCATAATAACCCTACCGTTTATATTTAAATGGACATAATATCCAACAGCTCAAATTAAATTGTTATGGTACATTTAAAACAACAGGAGATGAGTAGATGAGAGGTGCTCCCCATCCAACTCTGAAGCCAAGCAAGTTGAGAAGTCAACACAATAGAAGTTGACTTTATGCACCTTAACTTAAAACTTTATCCATACTCCAGTTGACCGTGGTATTATTATGTGATGGGGACCTCACTTGTACAATTTTCTGGTTAGGGTGTGGTGATAACGCCAGTGTTCAGGCAACTTCATATTTATTTAAAGCTAAGGCAATTAATTATAATATTTTGTTTTTGGCAATTCAACATTCATTATTTTAATTTTAGAGTTGAAGAAATATATGTTGGGGGATTTAATTGAATACTAGCAAATCATAAATCCCTAAAAGCAAAAATAGTGCGAACAAATGACACAAAATAACCACATATACAAATACAAGATTTATAGTGGTTCACTTTCTATATGAGAGTTACGTTCACTTTGCCGTTATGAAATTTTATTATGAAGAAGAATAAAAGAAATTACAAGAATCTATCAAGCTTCACAAATTGGCTCATTCACTAAACCCTATTTGGTGGCTCTCACTCTCTAATTATGGCTTTGCCTTTTATTCTTTTTATGATATCTAACTCTATGACTTAACCCCTTTTTATAGGTAATACATAGGACACAATTCCTAATAGGACTCAAATCTCATATCCTAATGGGAATTATATTTTAATTCCTAATACAATTATATCCTAAAAGCTTCAGAAAAGATAAATCAAAGTTGTAAAATTTATTCATAAGATAGACTGTACAGCCTTTGGTCTTTATAAGACCGAAAAAGAGAGGAAAATATTTAGAAATAACTACAAATATTTACACCTAGATTATTTCCCTGAATAGCTAGATATATATATATATAGTAATATTGACTAAACTAATATTATACAGATCTCAACTAAATCAAGGAGATTTGGTCAATTAATCAGAAAGATTATTTCCTGATTTCTGTTAATTATGTCAAGATTCTCAACACTCCCCCTCAAGCTGGACTAAAAATATCTTCCATGTCCAACTTGCTAATCAACTTCTCAAACTGTCGTCTGGGCAGCCCTTTTGTCAAAAAATCTGCAATCTGTTCAGTAGTTGATACATAAGGCATACATATTAGTCTATCTTCTATTTTTTCCTTTATAAAGTGCTTATCAATTTCAACATGCTTCGTTCTGTCATGGAGCACAGGATTATGAGCAATAGATATAGCAGACTTGTTGTCACAATATAGTCTCATTAGTAGAGCACTAATTATCTTTAGATCCTCTAGGAATCGTTTAATCCATAGAATCTCACAAATCACAAGTGCAACAGCTCTAAACATTTTGTTTTTTGCTCCTCCCTGTAACTAAGTTTCCTCCAATAAATGCACAATATCTAGATGTTGAACGTCTATCCATAATGCTACCAGCCCAATTCGCATCTGTATAAATCTCCACTTGTAGATGACCATTATTTCTGAATAGCAAGCCCTTTCCTGGTGTGCCCTTTAGGTATCTAAGAATCCTGTAGACAGCTTCAAAGTGCTCAAGTCCTGGTGAGTGCATAAATTGACTGACAACACTTACAGCAAAAGTGATATCTGGCATTGTGTGAGAGAGATTAATTTGCCCACTAGTCACTGGTACCGTTCTCGGTCAACAACATCCTCAGGTTTAGCAGGTTGTGGCTTCAGATTTCGCTCTATAGGAGTCTTAATTGTCTTGCATCCTAGCAGACCTGTTTCATTAAGAAGTTCAAGTGTATATTTGCGTTGTGAAATCGAGATACCCTTTCTTGACCTTGCAAATTCCATCCCTAGGAAGTACTTGAGTGTGCCCAGGTCTTTAATTTCAAATTCATTTGCCAAGAAGCCCTTTGGTTTGGCAAGTTCAACATCATCATCACCTGTCAGGATTATGTCATCTACATAAACAAATAGTATAGCTAGTTTCCCCTCTTTTGTCTTTTTATGAAATAAGGTATGGTCAGCTTGGCCTTGTTTATAGCCCTGTCTTTTTACAGCCTTGGTAAACCTCTCAAACCATGCACGAGGGGACTGTTTAAGGCCATATAAAGATTTCTTCAACCTACACACTTTATTCTTCCCTAGCTTTTCTTCGAATCCAGGTGGTAAATCCATAAAGACTTCTTCTTCCAAGTCTCCATTCAAAAAAGCATTTTTAATATCTAACTGATGTAATGGCCAGTTAAAGTGAACAACAAGAGAGAGAAGAATTCTGACAGAATTTATCTTGGCTATTGGGGCAAATGTTTCTTGATAGTCTATCCCATAAGTTTGTGTAAACTCTTTTCCACTAAGCGTGCTTTATACCTCTCTACTTGACCATTAGCATTATATTTAATTGTGAATACCCATTCGCACCCAACAGCTTTCTTCCCGCTAGGTAGTTCTGAAACTTCCCAGGTTTTATTTTTTAAGAGGGCATTCATCTCTTCAAAAACTGCTAATTTCCAATCAGGATGTTCTAGAGCTTCCTTAATTGTCCTAGGCACAAACTGTTTAGATAAATTGGATACAAAGGCTTTATGTTGGCTGGACAACCTATGATAGGATAAATATTTGGCAATTGGATGCTTAGTACATTCTCGGACACCTTTTCTAAGAGCTATTGGGAGGTAAAGATCTGGATATTCATTAAGAATAGTAGGTAGAGGGTTTTAAACAGTACCTGGAGTTTCTTCAGGAGTAGAATTTGAGGGTAATGATTGATCAAGTGCCATTGAAGTAGCATGGACTCTATTGTTCGAATGATACCTCTTCCTTGAATAAACACGTAACTCTACAAGTTGCTCAAGTAGTGGTGGTTCCACCTCTGTTTGTGATGAAACAATACCTTGGTCTGAATTCTCAAAGTTGGAAGTATTCATAGGATTCACAGCCTCTGAAGAAACTTCAGGAAATATAGTATTAGGTAATGCAATAGAAGTCTGCCAAAAATGATTTTCACTTTTACTCTCCCCCTGAAGGTCATTTGGTATGAAAAAAGGTTGTTTTTTCTAGGAACAGAACATCCATACTAAAATATAACTTCCCTATTTTGGGATTAAAGCACTTATACCCTCTTTTATTTGGTGCATACCCAAGAATACACAGCTCTCTGCTCTCGGGTCAAACTTAGATCTAAGATGGGCTGGAATGTGGACAAAAACAGTACATCCAAAGGTTTTTAAATCCATCATGGTCACATTTCTAAGATGAGGGAAAAAAAATTTAAGAAACTTAAGAGGTGTTTTATACTTAAGAACACGTGAAGGCATTCTATTTATTAGATAACATGCTGTTAAAATAGCATCACCCCATAATTTCTTAGGTACATTCATAGTAAACATAATGGCACGGGCAACCTCAAGTTAATGTCTATTTTTTCTTTCTGCGATCTCATTTTGTTGAGGGGTATCGCGATAAGTTGATTGATGTTCAATTCCCTTTTCCTTAAGAAAATTTTCTAGGTATTCATTAAAGTATTTCGTACCATTATCACTATGCAAAATACTTATCTTAATTTAAAATTGATTTTCCACCATGTTATAGAAACCCATAAACAATTTCTTGATCTCAGATTTTTCACTCATTAGATATACCCAACTTAGTCTAGTGTGGTCATCTATAAAGGTAACAAACCATTTTCTCCCAAAAAGAGTAGTAATTTTTTAAGGACCCCACACATCGCTATGAATTAAATAGAAAGGTTTAGAAGCACGATAAGATTTTGACTTATAAGGAATTCTATGGCTTTTTGATACTTGATAACTTTCACAAAATAAGATACTACAATCAACATTGTGAAAAAGTTTTGGAAATACATGTTTCATTTATGGAAAACTAGGATGTCCTAGTCTTTGATGTCATAGCATTATTTGATCAAAAACAGAAATAGAACTACTAACATTACTTAAGCTAAAAGCTTGTTTATTCTTAGTGAGATTGTCATTGAAGTAATAGAGTCCATCCACCATTTTAGCACTGCCAATCATCGTCCCCAAATTCCAATCTTGAAATTCACAATGTGAGTCAAAGAAGGTGACAAGACAATTAGAATCTTTAGAAAGCTTACTAACAGAAAGCAAATTGCAAGATAATCTTGGAACATGCAGGAAAGATTTTAGTTCAATGGTGTTGGAGAGTTTAATTGAGCCTTTGCCAGCAATGGGTGAAAGGCTTCCATCAGCAATCTTTACCTTTTGATTTCCAGAACATGGTATATAGGAGTCAAAAAGTTGACTAGCACTGGTCATGTGATCAGAAGCTCCTGAATCTATGATCCAAGGAACTGGAGTAAGTTTACAAGAAAAGGCACTAGGAATATCACCTGTTTCTAAGGACACGCTGGAAACACTTGGTGGCTAGCTGGAATTCAGCAATTTAAGAAGCTGATCAACTTGCTCCTTGGTAAAAATTTGGTCAACCTTCTCGGCTTCATTGGCTGATGGGACTCCACGACCACATTTTTCACTGTTTCTTGTGCTCTTCCAATCTACAGGTTTCCCATTGAGTTTCCAGCAATTTTCTCGGGTATGGCGTGGTTTTTTACAATAGTCACACCACACTTGAGGATGATCATAGTTCTGCTCATGAGTCTTGACACGTGTAGCATTAGTATCAACAACAATAAGGGCCGAGTTTTCAACAGTTCCAGCAATCCCTTTCTTCCCCAACATGACTCCTCGACGACTCTCTTCACGTCTGACCTCCGAGAAGACTTCTCCAATAGATGGCAGTGGCTGCCTGTCAATAATTCTAGCCCGTACTTCATCAAACTCCATGTTCAGGCCAGTAAGGAATTTGTAGATCCGAGAATTCTCCACCATCTTGTTGTAATAGGCTTGATCTTTAGTATTTTTCCACTCATAGGTGTTAAACAGATCCAGATCTTGCCAAAGTCCTTTAAGAATGTTGAAGTATTTGGTCACACCTTCACTTTCTTGTCAGATTTCTCCAAGCTTCAATTCGATCTCATAGCATTGGGACTGATTCCCAAAATTAGAGTACATTTGATTAACATTATCCCATAGCTCCTTCACGGTTGGATAGCACATATAGTTTGCACCAATATCCTCCTCCATGGCATTGATAATCCATCCCATAATCATTGAGTTTTCTGCATCCCAAGTTGCATAGGAGGGGTTAGATTTCTTGGGTGCCTTGGTTTCTCTTGTTAGGTACCCAATCTTCCTCCTACCTCTGATATACATGTGCACAGATTGAACCCACCTAGAAAAGTTTTTTTCATTCAACCTAATGCTGGTGATCTGGACAAAGTGTGCGTCAACAGGCTTGGCAGTGGTAACAGGTGTGGTTGCCGGAGTGGAATCGGAGGAAATTTCTGACATGGTGACAAATGAGAAGGAATGTTAATAAAGACAAATATTTAGAGGCTAGGGTTTACAAGATAAGAGCAATGTGGCTCTGATACCATAAAAGCTTCAAAAAAGATGAATCAAAGTTGTAAGATTTATTCATAAAATAGACTATACAGCCTCTGGTCTTTATAGGACCGAAAAAGAGAGGAAAAAATAGTAAGAAATAACTACAGATATTTACACCTATATTAGTTCCCTGAAAAGCTAGATATATATATAGTAATATTGACTAAACTAATATTGTACATATCTCAACCAAATCAAGGAGATTTGGTCAATTAATCAGAAAGATTATTTCCTGATTTCTGTGAATCATGTCAGGAATCTCAACAATCCTATTTCCAATTGTATTTCTAAAAAAAAAAAAAAATTCTACTTAAACACAAATTAGGAAAACCGATGTCCTAATCCAACTCTAATTTAAACTGAATTTGGCTCCACAATATCAACAATCTCCCACTTGGAGACTAATTCAACATGTCTTCAATTCTTCACTTCCATCAGCAGCGGCATCAACTTCTCTTTCTTCAAGCGAGAAGTCCAATTGAAGTTATACACAACTTCAGTTTCTCAATGGTAACCACCTTCGTAAACATATCAGTTGGAGTTTTACTCCCTTCAATTTTCTTGAGAGTTATAACTCCTTCCAAAACTGAGCGTATGAAATGGTAACGAACTTTTATGTGTTTTGTCCTAGCATGGTAGATTGGGTTCTTTGTCAGGTGAATTGCACTTTGACTAACACAATACAAAGCGCTTCTCTCATAATTCTGATCCAATTCTTCTAGGAACTATTGTAACCATATTAGCTCCTTACTAGCTTTTGTCATAGCAACATACTCTACCTTTGTAGTAGAAAGAGCAACAATCTTCTGTAACTTTGAAACCCAACTGACTGTTGTACCACCTAACGTAAAGACGTAACTTGTGATACTTTTGTGGTTATCAATGTCACCAGTAATATCAGTATCCACATAACCTTGTAGCTCTAAGTCTGACTTCCTAAAACATAATGTTGAATCTTTAGTACCTTTCAAATATCCGAGAATCCACTTTATTACTTCCCAATGTTGCTTTCTCGGATTGATCATGTATCTACTGTTAGTGTAAGCCCTAGGAACTAATCGTGTTATCGGTTTCAGAGCATTATATCTTGTAAATACTTTTTTGAGAATGGAAGAAAGAGTTTTATTTTCACATGTTGTTTACTGCTTTATTTATACTATTTATAATGCATGTGAAATGTCCGGATGATATGGATCTTTTGAAGATCAAATCATCGAAGCATTCCCTATGTAAGTAATGTTAATTAGGCAATAACATTGCATAGTAGGCATGTTGAATACCTCTATTGAATATCATATGATGGTATTAGTGTGTGTGATTATAAGAGGTATATCACAAGGTATTAGCATGGATAAAAGGTTGATGAACTGTTTATTAACTATGACCGATTACGATGAATCACATGGATATTTAGAATGTAGTCAATGATACATCGTATGATCGTACTAGTGTACCACTGATCCTTAGACCTGAGACATCACAGTTGGACTCGACATAGGATCCATATGATTCATATAGTGTATATACACGAGACTAGTCATGTTTTGTGTAAGAAGCCGGTTTGGTCATATGTTATTCATGTGCGAGGACAAGTGATGGTCAAGATGGGATCCGTTGACTCAAAATAGTTTGATCCCGAGTTCCCAGACAAATGTCAATAAACATTGGAAAAATGAAATCTCTGGCCATAGTACGAAATAGTCATATGAAAATGAGTTTCATGATGACACGTTCCATTGTATTGATTAACAATTCGGATAAAGATTAAGTTAAGGGTTTTGACATATATGAACCTATACTTAATCAAGATTAAACGACGGAGGGATTTTACTACATAAAACGTACAATCGGGAAAAAAAGGTTTATTGGAGTTTAACTTTATTGTGGCTTAGGGGTTATGGAGCATTGCTAGATGCCTACCATGATCGGTGGGAGTTTTGATCACAAAGAGTTATGACAAAACATATCGGATTGCGATATTGGGCCCACGGCTAGGTTACAGTGAACCAAAGTGGTCACACTAAAAAACAAGTATGAGAAAAGAGAGTAATACATATCGTTAAAGGTTAATGATATTGAGATGTAAACGTGTGTACCCGAATTTATGTATTTTTGAGAAATGATTACTCATGGAAGCTAGCACTTACCGAGGGTAATAAGGTAATTTATTCATTATTGGATTAGACTCATTTATGGACTAAAATATGTTATTGAATTGAATTCAGTAATGAGTCAAATATTAAATGGGATTATTTTATATGCCTTGATTATAAATTTGTTTAAATCAAAGATTTAATATTAAGGAGTTAATATTAAATTGAAATTGTTTCAAGGACTTAGGATCAATAACGATTTAATATTAAGAGTTAATATTAAATTGCAATTAGTTCAAAGACTTGAAATGAATTTGTATTAAGTGTTAATATAGGATTCATATTAATTCAAGGACTTGAGAACAATTTCAAATTATTGCAAAATGGTCCTTGTATATAAATAAGTGATATTCCCAAATTTAATCTAATATTCATTTTTTGATTGAAAATCTATCTCTTGAGCTCTCGTGGCCAGCTCTCTCTTCTTCATCTTGGGGTGGACTTTACTTTGAGGATTTTCATCAAATTTGTTGAAGATCTTGAAATCCTTCTCAAGTTACAAAAATTGTAAAGCATAAAAGGTAACAGTTTCACATTTTTAGTTTCAATAGCATGTCATATGACCTTATACCATGTTTTACACCAATTTTGCCCTTTCCAAGCATGAATTCTTTCACCTATTCACAACTCCCACTGCATGTACTATGTCTGGCCTTGAACACAACTTCAATTTCTCAATAGTAACCACTTTCGTAAACATATCAACTGGATTTTTACTCCTTTCAATCTTCTCGAGAGCTATAACTCCTTTCAAAATTGAGCGTATGAAATGGTAACGAACTTCTATGTGTTTTGTCCTAGCATGGTAGACTGTGTTCTTTGCCAGGTGAATTTCACTTTGACTATCACAATACAAAGCGTTTCTCCCATAATTCTGACCCAATTCTTCTAGGAACCATTGTAACCATATTAGCTCCTTACTAGCTTTTGTCATAGCAACATACTTTGCCTCTGTAGTAGAAAGAGCAACAATCTTCTGTAACTTTGAAACTCAACTGACTGTTGTACCACCTAACGTAAAGACATAACCTATGATACTCTTACAGTTATCAATGTCACCAGCCATATCATCATCCACATAACCTTGTAGCTATAAGTCTGACTTCCTAAAGCATACTGTTGAATCTTTAGTACCTTTCAAATATTTGAGAATCCACTTTACTACTTCCCAATGTTGCTTTCATGGATTGCTTATGTACCTACTCACAACTCCCTCTACATGTGCTATGTCTGGCCTTGTACACACCATGGTATACATAAGACTACCAATCACTGATGCATAGGATACCTTCACCATGTAGTCTCGCTCATGCTCTATTATAGGTGACTGATCTTTGGATAGTTTAAAGTGACTAGCCAAATGAGTACTTACTGGCTTTGCTCCATCCATGTTGAACCTATTGAGTATTTTCTTCACATACTCTTTTTGTGACAACTTTAAGAAACCCTTGGCTCTGTCTCTGGTAATCCTCATACCAAGGATTTGTTTTGCAGCTCTCAAATCCTTCATAGCAAACTCATTTGACAACTGCCTTTTAGCTTGTCTATTTCTTGTTTACAAGCCCTGTAATCAACATATCATCTACATATAATAATAGGATGATATAGGAGTTACCAAGTTTCTTGAAATAACAGCAATGGTCTACTTGGCATCTT